CACACCACTTCACCAGCCCAGGTATCCCTACAGGATCACACAGTCAGCAGTTACCATCTACCAAAATATGTGCCCCACCAATTCAAATGGGATGAAGACAATGAAACTTATGGGAGCAGGTTGTGGAAGAGTTGAAAACTCCTAGGAGATTCTCAGATCCTCTCAGGATGGCAGCCTGACTTCACAGGCTTTCTTCTATTTTTTAGGAATAGTATGCAACATATAAATCTGCAAAAATGCTCCCCTTGCTTCTAAGCAGCACAATCTCTGCTTAGCATCTACTGGAGCAGCAAAGCTCCGTAACATACTTAACATGCAGAAATGTAGTCTGAAAGTCATGAAATCATTTGGTCACACACAACTGAGGACAAGTCGGGCCCAAATGGAAAGAATTACGCAGTACTTCACAGCGAGGAGGCCCACTGCATCCTTCATCCCTCAGTGACGGGCATACAAAAGGGAAAAATAAGGAACAAATTTCCCCAAACTACAAGGAATTTTTGCTGTGTTAAGTCCTCTCTGAATCAGTGAAGGGTTTTTCCCTACTAAATGGGGAGGTTTCGAAAGAAAGGCCCATGGCAACAGTACTAAACCAGCTCCAAAAGTATGTATTATTCAAATGAGTTTTACATAACTCCGCTGCTTCCCTTCCAACCTCCAGACTGCCTGAAAGAATGGCAAAACCCAAGCTGAGTGTAAGAAAACCAGCCTCTAGGCCAGGGAAGGACTTTTCCCATTGCCTCCACAAAATAAAGCACAGATGTTTTCAAATAATCACACCTTAAAATAAACTGCACTCACCAAAGCAAACACAACAATGTCAGCAGCAGAGGACCAGGGCTGAGCCCCCACACTAAGGGTCTTCATGCAGAAGCACAGGGACTTCATGGATGCAGCTCCCTTGCATGGAAACTAGTCCCCAGATCACCTTAGCTAACTGGAAAATGTATTTTACAACTATGTTGCTACAAAAAATCCTTCACCTTTGTAGCAAGAAAATAAAGCTAATTCAGCTACACCTATTCCAGTTAGCAGTAACACCTAACACTTTTCTGAGAGGTTGTGAAGAAACAGTTTTTACAGCATATAAAAACATTTTAGTGAATCCCACAAAGATTACTTATTGCCATTAGATTGCAATACTTGTTATGAACCAGTGTTCTTTATCAGCATTGCCTGAATTTTGGATTTCTGGGAGTCAAGGAAGGAGGAGGCACAGCAGAGAAGGGAGCCCTGTCAATATGTGGCTTTGATACCTCTTCCTAGAAGTATCCCCATGGGAGACAGACCAACAGGCATCACACATCTTGCTCTGCTCGCATCTAAAAGGCACACAGATTAGGACTGGTTTAATGGGCCCTCTTTGAGAGCTGGCATTCATTTCACTGATACCAATTTTATCAGCTAGTTCATTGGCTCTAGCTGGGCTTTCACAGGAGAATTAAAGCATCCATTTCAATCACTCTCCTTTGCCTCTAAAAAAAATCATAAGGCACTCATATTATATAGCTTATTTTTTGTGTGTGTGTGTATGACTATTTTCCTCCTAACAAAAACTACTTTTCTCAAGTTTTACTTTGCAAGTCAATTTTCCATGGTACACCTCCCATTCTTTACATGTGTGTGGGCAGAAGAGCCAGACTAAGGGGCGGTTGCTGCAGGACAGGGTAGTAGAAACAAAATCTTTGCTTACTTATACATCCAGCACAGCTAATGAGTCTTTTCTCATGGCTGGCACTCCTGGCTGGTTCAGATATGGGCTAAACAGGGAAAATGAGGTGCTGCTGAGACCTACGGTGGCATACTTATTGCCTCGAAATGGGAGTCACCAGGCAGGTCAGGCTGCACTGTATCTGTGCAATATGAGTTAAATAATAATTTGAATTGCTTTCTGTGTGTACAGACTTCAACTTTCCTCCTTTTTCCTCATTCAGCTAGAGGTTAAGAAATCCTCTGTTTCTCAGGCTTTGCCCAAGAGGACTTAAGCAAAACTAAACAGATACCAAAAACTGATGGAGATTCACTATAGCCTCTGTAGCACCTGGGGGCAGGTGTGTCCTCAGCGAGGACATAGACATCCTCCATCCTCTCAGGATCACAGTTTTCCCTGGAAGAGGTGTCTGAGGAGCTCACCTGAGCAGTGCCACCATCTCAGGGACTTGGATGTACCAATGGGAAGGACAGTCCTGAGCACTGTGGTAGGGAGTCACAGCTCATGAAAGTGCCAGGAAAAGTACAAGGGGCACACTAGGATGAGGTGAGTATATATTTTCCTCTCAAACTGAGAATTCAACTTTTAAACTCACTCATGGGCAAGATATATAAAGAAAACATATAAAGATGGTACAGTAAAAGTTTTTAACCATCCTTATTCTTCTTTACACTAGAAGGAGAAAAGGTAAAGGTGACACAGAGCAGTGGTAGGTTCCCTATGAACATCCTATTAGATTCCCTGCCTTCTCATATATGACTAAAATCTTTTTTTAATATACCTGTTATTATAGTTCAGAGTCCTTGCCAAGTGTTTAGAGTGTTGCCCTGAGTAACAAGTCTGAGCCAAGGGACTTAATTAAATGCAACCTGCTTTTTCAGTTACAGAATTGTCCTTAAGCATCAAAAGACAAGTGAACATTAATAATAAAATCTTAAATCACTTTCTGTTTAAGAGAAGTTCTTTACTCCTCACTGTATATAATAAGTTACTCCTTAGTAGGTATAGAGTATTTTCACAGGCAATTTCCCACAAGCATTTACAGATTTTATGACAAGTAACATAACGTTTGGAGTGTTGGCTTCATGTGAGGATCTCAGTATTCATACTTTCTTCTAGTGCTAATTCATAGACTACATATCTTCATGGAAGGAACCAGAAGCTTAAAGAAGAATGCTTATCAAGGCCCCTCTTTTCGTATTGCTATTATTTTTTTTCAGTGTCCTTACAGAGTCCTTTCGGTCCTTTTCAGTATGGAGCACTTGGTTCTGGATACAGAGATCTTTTCCAGCCTGCTCAGCGGAGGCTCAGTGACGGGAAGGGCAGGCCGGGCTGCAGGATGTGGGAAGCACAAGGGCTCCCTGCTCCTCGTGGTGCTGCTCCCTCCTCCTCTGAGGAGGGTGCAGACAGCAGATGTTTTCCTACGTAGAATGGGTTAATCCCCTTTCTCCTCCTCCCAAATGGGAATTTTAATACCCATGTGCCCAGACTGTTCATCATCTACAGTGTCTGAAACTCAGCCTGACCCTGAGACCGAATTCAGCTCCGAATACCTGGCCCTCCTAGGAATGCTGGATGCCCAGGGGCTACCCCGAACCCTCAGAGAACGGAACTGGGCATCTCTCACGCTGGGGCAGGGAGCGTGTCAGAGGCAGCAACATATTGCACATAACACAGTGCAGCCGCAGGCTGCATGTGCAGAGGGCAGCGGAGCGGAGCTGCAGCGTCCCGTGCAGGGCTGGCTGCTGGCAGTTACTGTGTCACCTCCTCCGACCTTTGCTCCCGCCACTCCACCCCAGCACTGCAGAAGGCGGCAGTTTATTCCTGGCTTACAGAAAACCGTGCCTTACATATGATATAAGGTGGTCCCCGCGAGACAGCAGTGCAATGACTCACTGATGTGAAACCCTCTTTTCCAACAGCCCCCTCTGCTCGGTTCTCAGCTCCACCTCTGAACATGTCACTGATGCCTTCAGCTCACTCCTCCTGGAAAAACAAAACAAAAACAAAGCAAAACAAAACAAAACAAAACAAAACAAAACAAAAAATAGGTCTTCCTGCAGCCAAAGGAAGTCAAAGACAGGCATTGTGATATGTGCAAACAGGGCTCAGTCTGCTGCTCTTTCCTTTTCACAAGATGTTTCTTCTTTGCGTTCATGCTCATAAACTTTTTGGCACGGCCTTTGTCTGTCTGCATCTGTGTAAACCTCTGAGCCCTCATGTATAAATAGTAATAAAGCTGGAGACCCAGACCCTTGCAGAATGGGCTGCAGGATCGTCGACTGGTACTTGTCATAGCAGTGAGACAAACAGTTCAGCAAATAGATGCTCCCCAGCTGACTTGGACTTTTTCCCATCCCCATCTGATTTTGACTGGTGATAGAAAAATCACCGAGGGGCTGTGGGAAGGTGCTGCATTCCAAGGCAGGGTGAAACCAGCTGTGAGGAGAAAGCATGTGCTTGGAATCACATAAACACTTCCAACTTGAAAGGGCCACAATCTCTAGATCCCAGTTTGTTTATATGTAACTTTGTAGATCTCAGCTTGTGTGTTTTGCTGGGCTTAGCAATGATACTATACTAGTCCGACTGGATTGTGTCAAAATTTCTGTTTACGTTATATAATCTTCACGTCCTGAAAAGAAAACGGACACGAAAGCACAAATAGTGAGTGATACATTGTAATGAAACGCCTTGTGCATGCAGGAAATTCTCCTGCTGTTCCACAAGTTTTCAGAGCACAGCTCAGTAGAGCTGAAGAGCGTGGAGAATCACTGTCCAACACTGACGAAAATATGGCATAAAGGAAGACATTCAGGGGGAAAACAGGCCACGGGGGAAATCTGGAGGCTGAAGGGGCTGCCCTGGGTGTCCCTGCTGGAGCAGGGGGGTTGGAGCAGATGGTCTCTGAAGGGCCCTTCCAACCTCAACCGTTCTGTGATTCTCCGAAGGGACATGAGAGCGAACTAAAGCAACACGTAAACTGCTTTTAACGCATAGCGGCGCGTGCTTGATTCCCACGGGACACGTCCCTCCGCACCTCATCCTTCCTTCTCCCGCCTCTGGGCACAGGGGCGCCCCGGGCCCCCTCCCGCCGCGCGCCCCGGGCCGCCTCCGCGCGGAGCGGGCGGGAAGCGCGGGGCTGCCGCGGGCCGAGGCGGGAGGCGGGAGCTCCCGCGGCGGGGCCGGTGCTGGTGCCGGTGCTGGTGCCGGTGCTGGTGCTGGTGCTGGTGCTGGTGCTGGTGCCGGTGCGGGCGGCTGCCCCGCTGCGCGCCGCCGCCGCGGCCCCATGGCCGGGCACGAGTGGGACTGGTTCCAGCGCGAGGAGCTCATCGGGCAGATCAGCGACATCCGCGTGCAGAACCTGCAGGGTAGGCAGCGCCGGGACCCCCGGGGCCGGGCTCGGGCTCGGGGCCGTGTTTGGTGTGGCGGGTGCCGGAGCCCCCGGCGGCATCGAGAGGCTCTGCCGCCCCCGGAGCCGCGGCCGGGACCGAGGGGTGCGGGTGTGTGTCCTAACCGGGCGTCCAGGGCCAGCACTTTTGGGTCACTGGTTGAGATGGGAAGGTGGCACGAGGCCTCCCCAGACTGGCCGTGCTTGGCGCTCCAGTCTGCTTTGGAGCCCTGGAAACTCTGGGCCAGCGTCGGCCCCGTCACTCCCACATAAAGGTGTGGAGACACCCTCTGAAGGCAGGACGGGGCTCTAGGTCACTACTGGGGCAGTTGGAAAGGCAGCCAAGGGCTATCCCAGCACTTAAGTCCCTCCTCATACGCTACTGTGGCATAAACGTGGGCAGAGCTTTCGGATAAACCCTCCACAAGATACCTTCCTGCTCGGCTACAGGTTGTGTGGCCGCAAAGGACGCAGTTGTCCAGGTCTGAACATAGCTCAGCATCAGTGCTGTAGTTGCTCCAAAGTTAGGTTTGCTGCCTCCAACTACCTGCATGTGATTGGCAAGGGCAGCGACAACTGATCCAACAGTGAAAAGCAACCTTGGTTCGTAGGCATGGAAAAAACTATTTGTTTAATGTAGCATACCAATCTTCTTAATCAACCATTTACATAATATTGCCATGTAAGTCCACATCCATAAAAATAATAGTCTTGAATTACAGATCATCATCTCTTCCTGTTTATGCATAATGATATTAAAGCACTGATTACTGGAAGAGACAGCGCAGTCGCTGGAAATTAGTTTTGGCTTGGTTTGTTTATAGAACATGTATAATTTAATCTGAAAAGAGACCAAAATTAGCCATTCTTCCAGCCCTGATGTCTTGATAATGCAGTTAATGCAGATGGCCTCATTCCACAACGTTTTGACCTGCCTCTTCGTAACTTCCAGAATTCAGAGTCTGATGGGAGGCAGGACTGGTGAGTTTGGGTTGGACTCCCCTCTTGTTTTGTCAGTCCCTCACTATAGATAAGCCTACGTTTCTCTGGCTCCTGCCCCCATCTCTTTTGATTCTGTGTGTTGGCATGGTTGGCCCAATCTCCTGTGGCTCTACATTGTAGTGATTAGAAAGGATTTATCTTAAATTCATGGACATTTGTTATGAGAAGGAAAAGATATGTATTCTTCCACAGAATAATCTGTTTTTCGCTTTGTCTTTCAATCATTTGTGTAAGAAGGAGTTACACTCTCTTCCTTCTCTGCAACTTAAGATACATTTATACAGATGCATACAGCCTTCTTCAGAATTCCTATAGCCCTGAAGGGGAATGTCATCCTACAGGGCAAATTCCTCCAAGTAATATTAGGCTCAGGAAGATCCTTCCTCTGCCCTCTTAAAATGCAGGAGGATTTTTAAGAGGTGTGTTAGTTGTCATCCTATTCATGCTACTAAAAAGTTTTAAAAAGTTTTATGACTTGTGTGGACTATTTTGAGGGGGAAAAGGCATTTGTTTTAAGGTGCTGCTCCAAAGTAAGTGATAATAGCTATTGCTTACAGTATATATGATTTTTGACACATAGATCTCACATTATCTTGTAGAAGTGAAAAACATTTTGCAGATGGTGAGTCTGATATTCAGGCGAGTGTGATTTTGTGATGCGAGGGCTCAGTGGCGAAGCGTGGTGCCTCCCTTCAGCATAGATGCTTACAAAATGCCAGCATATGCTTTTATGTGCATATGTAGCAAAGAAATGAAACTTACTTCTCTTTTATGATTCAAAATTAATTTTCTCCCAACAATGTGGTCTGAGTCACCGCTTGCATTGTTGTGTACCAGCCGCAGCTGCCATGTGCTGGAAAGCCGTGATGCTAGGGTGAAAAAATAGCCGAGGATGAGGCCGGGCGTGCAGCAGCCCCAGCACGGGGCAGCTGGGGGTCTGCAGGACCCCGCTCTGCTCGGCCTTGCGGGGGACCCTGGGGTGAGGGCGGCTGCAGCTCTGAGATATCGCTGTGGGGAGGGAGATGCTGAGAAGCTGGTGTTCTGTCTTCTCCCACAGTGCTTCCTTCCAAGGGAAGATTTTGCATCGGTGAAGATGCAACCTTGAATTACCAGTCATGATCACTGGGATTCCTTGTGTGAGCACGGAACTGAGAGGTGTCTCGGATGCACAGGGCTATGTTCTCAGGAGAGGTGGTAGGCAGCATGTGTAGATATGGACAACACAGGAAAACACCGGCATGTCTGCTTGTAGGCATGGAGACTGCCCGTCCTGCTCTGCTGGCGCTCTGATCTAGCCAAGCATGAGCTACTGCTGGCCTGGAAGTCAGGCTGTGCCCAAGCCATCCCGCCCGCGAGCCGAGGGAAGAGCACGAGACCGATAAGCCCCATGAGACACTGGTGATGCCCGTGAGAAACAGCAACACTAGAGTCTCAGCAGCCTAACCGGTATGAAAGTTCCTGCCAGCATCATAGAGCCATCTGCTGTAGTAGTCTCCCATACTCTCCCTGCCTATTTTTTAAAAAAAGAAAAACAAGAGGCAAAAGTATTAATTTCTCATGATAAGTTCATTGTGTCCTAAGTAAACTAGAGAGTACTGATCAGATAAAACACTATCTGCAGTTGGCATCTGTGGTTTCAGTCTGTTATATGTTCCTTCTGTAGATCAGTAGTTTGAAAAAGCACCACTTGAGGATCCAGGATGGCACTTGCTGGAAAGCATCTGCTTTCATGGGTGACTTTTGGCAGCAGTATCACCTTGCTGAATTCAGTATTTTTTTAGATGCATATGCAGTGTGCAGATATGGGTTAGTAACCATATATTCTATTATAGAATGGACTGGAGAAGTTATGGCATGTACATTCTTTTCCCCATCTTTTTCACAGGAAGACTAAAACTAAGAGTAATTTGTTAAACTGTCTTGGACATAAGGGAAAAAATAAGGGTGATTTTAAAAATGGAGCTGCGACTGGATGTTTAGACACAGGCATATGATGATTGGCTTTTATTTTGCCTTTTCATTAAAAGCCAAGATTTTCCATTTTATTTTTCCAGTGAAGGAAATGGTAGTTCAAAGCAGGTAAGGGATGCTAAAAGCCATAAGAACTGCTTCCTTCTTAGACAAAGTAATTTCAGGGCAGAAGAAGCAAAAGCGGCAACGTGATGGAGAAGAGAGCGAGATGCCAAGAGGGAATAGGCAGCAGGTGTGTTGACACACAAACTCACTCCAGTTCTGTTTGTTTTCTAAATGCATTTGATAAGCTGGTTTTCTGGGGCTCTCTGTTGTTTTCCCATAGTTTCCATAATGAATTTCGCTACACTTTTAGAGAGAAAAATGGAAAGACTGCACAGAATGTAGGAGTGCATCACCAAGCACTGGAATGTTCAATAATTAATTTCCTGCCAGCAGGGTTTTTTTATTTTTTTTTTCCTTTTTTTTCTCTTTCATTATAACACCAGCAGGAACATTTTGTTACAACAGAAGAATATTTTAAAATCTTTCCTACTGGAAGCTTGATTTAGGATCATCAAAAATACACTCCCTTGTGTGGTGAATTGCATTCGCTGGAAAGAGGCAACATCCCCAACAGAAATTACTCTTTTTTAAATGGCATTTTTGTCCTGAATTCAGTACTTTGCAGTAGTCTGAATGTATATTTAGTAGCACGTGTCTTTCCCTCCATTTCCTGGAATGAAGTATGCAGAGAGGAATACATCTATAGTCAGAAGTTTTGTTCATCTCTGGAAAATGAATGCAATCACTGCTATTTAAAAGTCATTCTGGTTTTAATTTTCATTTCTTATATGAATATGGACTGGGGTGGTAGCACTGTGATTTGTTGATAGCAGGAATAGAAAAGGAGTCAGAATTCCTGTATTCTTTATCTCATTTTACTGCATTTTTATCCCAAATTCTATAGGCCAATTTTCCTTGATTTTAGTAGATTTAAATAGTTTCCTGAGACACAAGCTTTCTTTGAAGACATTTGCATGGCCTGCAAACATATTTGGGATGCTACACATGCACATAATGTAGTGGTGTCAGAAATAATGCAAAAAAAAAAAAAAAAAAAGAGAGAGAAAAAGTGATCACAAGCTGAAAGAAGCTGATCAGTACCAGCCCCATCGGCTCCGCATCGTTACCATTAGGTGTAACTTGGGATGAGTTAGTCACGAACACTCAGCGCCCTTTGGTTGGATTACCTTCCCATTTGGATTCTTAAGATCAAGATTTTTGTAAATTCTGGACACTAATAACTGTAAAAACTATTGATTTGAACCTCAGCTTCTCAGGACTTTGAAACTGCCAGTCTCAAAGCCTGTAATTTAAGGTAATACAGATGCTTAACTTCTAATAGAGTCAATGGGAGTTAAGTATCTAAATATCTTACTTTACATCTACACTGGACATCTACAGGCAGATCTTCACAGTCAGCAGTTTTTGAAAACATTTTCCTCTCTTTATCTTTGCTTGTGTGTTTATGTATGAAGCATAATACAGATGACTTGCACTTAACTATAGTGGGGTTTTTTTTATTTTAATTACAAGATGCATCAGTGTTCAGCTTTTTTTGGTATAGTTTGACATGCCTGTCAAACACATGGAAAATTTATAAATGGAAGGAAACTCTTTTATTATACATCCATTCATTCTGGCAAAAGTAAGTGCTGTACCTGTTCATTATTTTAACTCTTCCGTAACTTGTTCCTGTATTTACTCTGCCTGTAGACATGCTAATTTCAGTGGAGCATCTTGTAGAGTAAAATGACATTTGGAAAGATTAAAATGCCTGGAGAACCTTGGATGAAGTTCTGTAGAACCGCAAAGCAATATTATTCCACATAAAAATGAAGTTAAATAGGCCTATGAGTTATAAATGTGAAACCCCAAAACAAAGATTCAGATCCAGGCATCAGAAACCAAAGATAATACTGGAAACGTAATTCTTCTGGTGTGGCTGGTCTCTATAATGGCAAT